TTTTCTTGCAGTTCTACAATCTGTGTACTACTTTTTCTTCTTGAATACATGCTTGTTTGATCTGGGTTTTTTCTGATTATTTTTGGGATTTGACGTTTGGTTGTTTTTCAGTCTTCTACGTGTTATTTTTCACTAGTTCTTTTGATTTTTCAACTATTTTTTTTAGTTCGTTTTCATTTACAACAATAAATGAAGCCTTAATGGGTTCTTTTCATTTAATATTTAATCATTACTGTTAGATTTTTTAATTCTGTTTTGTTTTTATATTCAACAGGTGTTCAATGGAAGATTTAAAATTCAACAATTGAATCTTGAAGTTATTTTTTTTAACTTGGAAAAGAAAAATGAAGTGTTTCTATTACTTTAAGGATAAAAGCAGAGTCAATAAACAAAGATCAGCCCCAACTTTGAAATACCAAAGCAATTTCAGTACATCAGAAGCTGAGAGAGTAATCAAATCTTCATCTTCGGCTCCTTCACCCCGCGGTATAACTGAATTATATGAAGAAAAAGCTCAAAACTTGAGAGTTTTTAAGTTCTCTGAGCTTAAACAGGCCACTAGTAATTTCAGTAGATTGCTTAAGATTGGTGAAGGTGGTTTTGGATGTGTATATAAGGGAAAAATCAAAACCTTTGACGGAAAGGGCGATCCTTTTGTGGTTGCCATAAAAAAACTCAACAGACATGGCAATCAGGTAATAAATTTAGTTGTAGATTGATGAAAATAAAATGTTGTTTGATATGCTTGAAGGATTTTGCTTTGATTAAATAATTTTTTACGTGCTAAATAATCATTGGGTCAGTCTTGCTGCAGGATAAGTTACTTTTTTCTACTTTTTTAAGTTAAAAAGTTACTTAAAATAAGGGCTAGAAGTAACTTACTTATTTTGAACTTGATGATAGCTGAGAGATTATATAGGTCTAGTTTTGAGTTTATTTTTTAAGCTTAGCCAAATATGCAGGTGCCATTTCTTTTTATTTTTTATTTTTTTGTCCTAACTTATATTTGATTGCAATTATTCTGATCAATTGCAGATGATCATGCAAAAATGCTATTGGATTCTGATTATGTAATTTCTTGTAGGATCAAACTTTTTATTATTGGCTCAAGGAATTAACTCTGAGTTCCCCATTTTTGAATCTTATCTTGCATAAACCACAGGCTTGGAATCTTTAGAAGCGAAAGATAATATTACTTTCTCACCATATTCTTTCAAACCAAGGTTCAGTTTCTATTACTTGTGTTGGTAAAATGTTCCAAAAAACACAAAGTAATTCGACAGAAAATTAAAAGAACACAGAGATTTTTCTCCATAAGGCCCGGATGTTCAGCCAAATGGCTTACTCACCACATTGAGCATCCACAAAAGTGGTTATCGCTCTAAATCCACTAGAAATCACCAAAAATATCACTACAAGAATCCACACCAAGAGATTCAACAAATAAACCCTCAGGCCACTTGTTTTTCTATCCTATTTTTCTCTCAAAACGGTTACACCAAGCAACCAGTGATTACTGCTCAACCAAGGACAGACAAGTAACCATTACACATTCGACTAAAGATCTCCCCAAGAAGATCTAAAAGAATGACCATTATAGATGAAATCCCAAACGTTTTCAGAGGGAAGAAGACTAAGAGCACGTTTGGCTAAGCTTAAATTCAATTAAAATTGAAAATATAGCCGTTATTAGGTTCCACTCGTCTAATAAAAGTCAACAATAACGGCTAGTATTTTAATTTTAATCCGATTTTAATCTCTACTGAACATGCCCTAAGAGAGTAAGAGAGAACCCTGGAATGATATCAATAATGAAAGCAATCGAAGCATCCAGAATATAACCATTCATCAATTAATCTCATCCAAAGGCCACCAATCAACCACATGGCATCATCTCAGCCTTTAGTAGTATCTGAACTAAAGTCGCACTTTCCAAATGCGAGAATGCACTAATGTGGAAGGCAACCGGGTTTTGGGCTTCATTATGTATATGGGCTGCCATCAATTTATAAGTGGACACATCGTTGGGCCCAAAGTGTTAAGCAAATCCAACAACTTGCTTAGCCTCCATTGATCTTCATATCAACTTTGTTCATGCTGAAATTCATTAAAAATGATTTGGAATTAATGTACTAATATTTTTGGAGGATGCATCCTGTATTTTATTAGAAGATATAGCGATAATCTGACAAGTTTGGATGATATCTTCATTTTTTTATATGTTTATTATGCTATTGCATTTGAAATGTTGTGTGTTATTTCTTACGCCTTGAATGAGCTCAACACTGGCTACCAGTTCAAACCTTTGAGCCTTCTATTGTGTTATTTCTATCTTCGTCTAGTTTTCCTCTTTACTTGCTCTGGTGACATAAGAAGTTGTATGTCTAATTGAAATGCAACTTTTTTTTTCTTGTTTGTTAGGGTCATAAAGAATGGGTAACCGAGATGAAATTTCTTGGTGCTGTGGATCACCCAAATCTTGTTAAACTCATTGGATATTGTGCCGTGGATGGAGAGAGAGGTATCCAACGGCTACTTGTGTATGAATACATGCCAAACAAAAGTCTGGACAATCATCTTTTCAATAGGTCGTTTCCAGCTCTTCCTTGGGTTCAAAGATTGCAAATAGTGCTCGGAGCAGCTCAAGGATTGGCTTATCTTCATGAAGAATTAGAAGTTCAGGTTTTATTTTTACTGTCTAATACCACTTTTTATTTTCTGCTCAGTACATGATATGCTGCAATTGTTCTTAATTGATCCCTTGATCACCAAGATAAACTTTCTTAGAAAATTGACGACAACTCGTCCTTGGAGTTACTGTTGTTTACATAATTGTTTAGGTTATATATCGAGATTTCAAGTCATCAAATGTGCTATTAGATGAGGATTTCAAGCCAAAGCTTTCAGACTTTGGGCTCGCCCGGGAGGGTCCAGTTGATGGACAAACTCACGTTTCTACAGCGGTAAATTCACCTATGGTCGTCATGGATTTTTGCATGTTCCATTCTCAGTGAAAAACTTTGTAACGAAATTCTTAAATATCTGGAGAAGTTAAACACAGAGATCTTAAAATTGGAATTTCTCTTCTCATGCTGGACCACACAGAACCTGTATTATATAGGAAAAGGACAAAAAGACTGTTTAAAATTTGAAATCTTGTTGCATTTTTTGTTTTGTTTGGTTATGATGTCAATGTCACTCTAATCTTTCGAACATTAGAATGAATCTTTTCCATGAAAAAATCCCATTTATGTATATCATGTTTTGTAACGGACTCTCGTTGGCCTGCATTCTGTGATTAGGTCGTTGGAACAAATGGATATGCTGCCCCGGATTACATTGAGACTGGACATCTTACTTCTAAAACTGATGTTTGGAGTTTTGGCATTGTGTTGTACGAAATCTTGACTGGCAGGCGATCCCTTGAAAGAGAGAGACCAAGATCAGAGCAGAACCTGTTGGACTGGGTGAAACAATACCCCACTGACAGTAGGAAATTTGGCACGATAATGGACTCGAGACTCGAAAATCAGTATTCACTCAGCGCAGCTCGAGAAGTTGCTAAATTGGCCAAGCATTGTTTGGTAAAAATTAGAAAGGACCGGCCAAAGATGAGCCAGGTGGTGGAAAGTTTAAAGCAAATACTTGGGATTTCAGCCGTTGAAAGCCCGCCTGCCAAACATTTCGACGACGTTGAAGATGATCCGACAGAAGAAAAGCCCATTAAACAGATGGGAGTCTCAGAATCGGCCAAAAGGCGTATGGAACATTTGGCTAAAATAAGTGAAAATGTAGATGGTGCTAATAGGAGAAGGTTTATGATCATGCAGGGGGCTAGAGCGACATAGATATGTATTGTATTCTTCTTTGAAGAGCTTCAACTTTGGATTATTTCATGTTTTTTGGGCTTCTATATTACTAGTTAAGAACTTGAGATTGTGACTTCAAATCTGATTTTGTTGTCTGATTAGATCAGAAAAATTTGAAATTGTCCGAAACGGTTGAACTACATGCAAGCAGTTAAATAACCGTCAAGATCTTTAGAATTCATGATTTTCACTTGTAGATTAATTAATCAAGAAACATACCTTCATCTATAGCAATAATTGAAAGATTTAAACCTTCAAAATAGAAACTAGTAAAATTTAGAAATCGTTCTCTCTTTTCTTCTCTGTAATTGAATGTTTTAATTTGATGGACTTCATTCACGTTTATAGACAGAGAAATGCAGTTTCATGGGTTATAAAAGAAAACTACACACTTTTCATCAAAGTGGACAGTTATTAAACTTTCACTTCTCGATAGACTAATAGAATTTTATCAATAATTAATCATCATTAATTAATTTATTAATAATATTACTTGGACCAAATTAATTTGTCTTACACTACATTGTCGAAGTATAAAATATAAATATTAAATACGAGAAAACAACCTTGTCTAGAGAACAAATGTATCGAATTCTATTTCTTTCCCTTTTTTCCATTTTTAGCTAGTTTTGAGGGTAGGTCGACAAGAAATATCATTTTGAGATAAATATGTAAGGCATGGGACATTTTATTTTATTTTAATGATAATCACGGTTTGCTAAGTTTGGATTTACATGTCCGAGAGCATTAGCTGAGAATTTACGATCCGAGTTAAAACCTTTCATAATTACAGCAATATATATATATATATACAGAAATGATCTAATGAGTACCGGTGCTCATCTTATTTATATATATTTTTTTTTTTTGATAACGATAAAGTGGTATATTAAATCAAATGAATTTGATTAATTAAATTTTTTCTTTTATTTCAATCACCTCACACAAATTTTAACTTTTTATCACAATCAGGTCATAGTTAGACAGCAGAAACGCGGACGAGACGGTACTGTTGTTGGCAAAAGTCGTTAAGAACCCAATAAAAGATACTTATTTTACACATTCACACGAAACTTCCCAAGTCGGTCCGTCCGTCCGAGCGGACGACTTTCACTCGTTTGTTGTGGGTTCACAACGTGATCAATAGATTCTTGGATTTTCTTGAAGCTGAGGAAAAGAAGAAAAAACATGGGTTCAAGCAGCAGTTTAATGGTTTCCCCATCATCAAGAAAATCTTCTGGGTTTGGTCGGTCCATGCTAAACCGCACCAAGCGCAGACTTTCCTTTCTATTCTGTGGTGCAGCCTCCAACGCTGGGTCAAATCTTGAGGTAGTATATATGAATAATCCATAAGATGTTTGTATAAAGTTCCTCGAGAATATACACGTGATATGTTCTTGTAATTGTGATTGCTTGTGAATTTTGATGTCCAGGGAAATCGAATTGATTTGACTTTGATTAGTAAATTTTCAGTTTTTTTGTTGAATGATTCAGAATGATCGGGTTCTACCTTAGTAACCTTTGGGCAATGATTTTAGTTTATGGCATATAACTCTAAAGTGAAGCCATACTGCTCTTTTCATTTCAGGAGTGTATTTTAATGTGATCACCTTTGAATTTGATTTGTTTTATGTGACTTAATAGAACTTCTGATTTGTTGCTATGTAAAAGGCCTATTTTCAAGCACACAAGTATTATAGTATGAACTTACCTCTCTTCCTCCTCAATTTACAAAGACTTTTGAAATGAAGCAGTGCACAAAAGATGATCTGCCGTACCAAAATATATTCTCTGGCCAGAAAGAAAAAAAAAAGTAAATTAAATTGATAAAGAGTAAAGACACCAAATTTCATTCCTTTATTCTTGCTAAATGACTAAGCTTACTTTTCCTCTTCCATTTGAGTATTGAGTTTTTAAATTTTGAAGGGAACATTTATAAATATAATTCCAAGGACCCAATTCCAGGCTGTGCAAGGCTGTGATTGGGATAAACTCTTCAAATTAGAATTTTGGATTTCCTTTTCAATGTTAAGAACTTGATATAGTTTTGATTGCACATAATGCTTGATTATAAATTTTATAAATTTTTTAAACTCAAGAGAAAGTAGAGAGTTGTGTCCGTATCACTACTTATTGCTTTCAGTTATGACAACGGTCATCTTATTTAAAGTTGATAATAGTTAATTATGTGAGGACTAAAGTATTTTATAGATTAGTCGAGGAGCGCGCAAGCTTGCCCGGACATTCACGATTGTAAAAAAAAAAAAAAGTATTTTATAGACATACGCCCAAAATAAACTTTCAAAATTTCAGGTGTCAATGTTAAAAGGGAAAAAAATGCTTTACACAGCTAAGTATCAGGTATTGGTTGTTTGTAATCAGAATTTAAAATTTTAGTTACCATCTGTGGAAGGATTTGTATGTCTTATTTATAAAATATAAAAGTCATAATGAATTAGTATCCAACCTTCGAATTTGACATTTAAGATGCTCTGTTTTGACTGATTCACTGAGGCCCTGTACTTAAAAGTCATGGTTGTCATTAACATAATGAAAATAACTGAAAACCGAAATTAGGATACCTTCAATATGAATCAAAAGAAGCATTAAACAAAACTTAATGCAATTCTTTTTCTCTTAAGGTGTTAATGACAGCAATTTATGTGTACTAGTTCTTCCAAAAGTTTGTATAAATATAACTTGGAGATGATCTAACTTGTTGGTATTCATCTTTCTTCAAGAGTTTCCTAAAAAGTGATGATGCTATAACATTTTTTTCTGTAATCTATTCTTCTATGTTTACCCAATATTAAATTATCCTTCAGGCTTATAGTTCTTATTTGAGATGATCATTGACATATATAATAATCTTCCTTGAAGCTAGAAGATTATTCTCAGGAATCATCAGCAAGTTCTACAAAAAAATTAGCTCCAATTAGTGATGTTTTGCATAACTCTATCATAGAATCTTCTTCAATGTTCAGTTCAGAAGTTGGGGATACAAGTTCCATAGTTGAGACTGGGGAATCATCTGTAAGTGACAACAGTATTATTGAGGAAGCTTTAGTTGAACAGTTAAATGTAAAAACAAGCAGAGATCTGGCACACCTCTTAAATAATAAGGAACCGGTTATCCATGAGGTAGGTTTTCATTCCAATTGCAAGGATTTATAATGGTATAAAAATCATGATATTGCAAATCATTCCTGTAACAGCCTGGTATTGATCCATCAAGCAGTCTCGCACATGCGAATTCAGATTCAGATGTTGAAAATCACCAAAATGCAGTTGTTGACGATAATAACACTAATTTAAGGTCACATTCTATTGCTTCCGATTCTTTACCACCATTTCAATTGCCTGGGGATGAAAGTGCTCGCATGACAACAACTTCTAGTCCCGGATATCTTGTTTCTGACAATGCCCGGGATCTCAGAAGTGGATATCTTCTTCATCTCGATGTGGTGAATGTCTCTTCTAACTTACTATCTAGTAGAATTGCAGAAAGAAATAGCTTCGAAGCAAGAAGGCATAGTAGGAGGCTATTTTGGGATGCTTTATCAAGACGGAGAGACTCCCCGACCATGGTTTTTGCTACTGGTCCAGATGAACTAGGCTCCCATGACAGATGGCTCCTAGATATTGGTGGTATCCACAATGATGAAGTTGGTCATGATACGGATTCCTTAAATGTTAGACGTCGTCGCAGAAATGAAGGTAGACGGCTATTGAGATCGGAGGTGAGATATGATATGCTTTTTAAGTTCTAATATTCTTAGAAAAACTTCCAAAACATTCAAACAATATTTTGTGTTATTTTCTTTTTTGGACATATAGTTGTAATAACTCGACCTCTATCTCAAGCCATTTTCTTACGTATTGTCCACTTTGAGAGGTCATCTTCTGTCTTACCCCTCACAGCGTTTTGTCGCATCCTCCAAGATTCGAAACCCAAGACCTCTGCCTTATGAGATACTTAAATTGAAATTTGATACCAATTGGGTTACAGCCCTCTTACCCCTTCATGGCTTTTTTTCACGTCCTCTAGAATTCGACCTCAAGATTTATGCTGAATTCTGGTAATAATTGTGCTCAATTGATATCAAGATTCAACTTAAATCTCTTATAACATAAAGGTCTTGTGTTCAAATCTAGTGCATAACTACGTAATTGCTAACGAGCAGACACTGTGTTCATCTCACAAGCATACTCTTGTTTCCTTAGATGCAATAAATAAAGCGTTTAATAAAACAACTTCGAATTTAGGTTGGATTTGACTATCAAATTAAAATTTTGTGCAATACCATATAAAGAATTGGTTTAAATCATATTGGATTTAGAGGTAAACCTATTCTTCTATCTTTCTGTCGGCTTAAAGATCTTCTTTTGTGTCTTATTGGATCTGTGTATAATGGCAAGGTAAAAAGTGGAAGAGAGAATTGCCTTTGCAAATATGATGCAAACACTTTTTTACTTCTGTTTCAGAAAAAAAAATCTTGTCAACTTTTGTGTCCTCATGTATTAATTTGATTTTTTTCCTACGTTTATACATGCAGATCTCGGAAAGAATGATAGGTGGCCTTAATGAAGGAGCCCAACAAACTACATTTTGTGCATCTGGGCTACACAATGAGGGCACATGTTCATGTGAATCTATTTTTTCATCTGAAGAATCCAGTACCCTTGCTAGCATCTCTCGAATAATCATGCTTGCTGAGACATTATTTGAGGTAGATCCGTGAGACCCAATCGTTTCCATCTCAGTTACATTTTCTCTTGATCAGCTATCTAAATTTTTAGGTTGTATTTAGTTGAAAGCACTATTTGAGTGACATTATGACAACTCTTTTTGGGGGTGTATCTGAATTCCTTTCCAGAAAATTGAACAAGGGCACAATTGCAACCAGCTTGCTTTCGAAGCTATTGTATTTGTGGAAATGGTGGCCAATCCAAATTAAGTATAGGCCCTAATAATTGAGCTTGCTGAAAAATGTAGGATAAGGGTGTCTTTATATGACGGTATTTGTAAGGAGTGGTCTATCAAATTTATAAGTTCCTAAACTTAAGAGTTATATTTTCAAGAAAACAAGTGGGCAGTTTATAATAACCTCCACTACTTCTTTTTTGGAGAGCACAGCCAAGTGTAGAAGGTTGTTGAACTTTCTAGATTAAATTTCGGCAAAGTGGGGTGTAATTGTTAAATGTCATTGAAACTTCTGGAAAAGTGTAATCAACTACGTTGATTTGGATAAATTTAACTAAAAATTATTACGGTGGCATCTTTGAGAACTTCATGGGAGCTTAAAATGCAGCGTTTAAAGGAAAGTGAGTTGAGCGAGTGTACCTTGGCATTGAAGTTCCATGACCACATGTGGCCTGAGATCCATAACAATAACACTATTGCTCTATGGCTGCTACCAGTTTGATGCTTCCTCAAATTTTTCTTGGATGGTTGCTTACATAGTCGAATACTTAAAAAATGGAGCAGTGGAAATTTATGTGGGGCTACTAGAAGAATTTTTTGAATTTTATCATCTGGTTTTGTCTAGCTTAAGCATATCAAATAATATTTGTATGGTGTACTAATTATTTTGGAATGTCATAAGCTGTTCTTTCTGAACCTATTTTTGTGACTAGTCATCTGGTTTGTTGCTAATTATCTTTGAGATGCCTTTTCTTGTGGATTATATTATCCTAGTGAACTGGGGATTTATGAGCTACAGTATCACAAATCTGGTAAAGGTATTGTTAATGCTAGTTGCGGAGAATGAAAGAATGATTGCTTTAATGTGCTTTCCTGTGAATTTTGTTTTCCTTGTAAATAATAATTTTTGAAGTTTTTAAGACAATGTTTCAATAATTAGCTGAAAAGTTACTTTATTGTAGGTTTTGGATGAAATTCAGCGCCAATCTCTGTCTTTTTCACCATCAATGCTCTCTCTCCCTGCTCCTGAGTCTGTTGTGGATTCATTTCCTCTCGAGTATTATAAAAAACAAAAAGCCATTGAAAGTGATACAAGTGATGTTCAACAGTAAGTCTTCTGATGTCATTATATAAGGCATGCATACTTGAATTTTTCTTCTTTCTTTTCCAAGGTTTATATTTGGTTGTTCATGCAGGTATCTGTTAAAGATTAAGCGCTTATTTGGATAACTGTTTATAAATTGTTAATAATTCGTTAATCCCTTTTTATCTACATAGTTTGTAGAACTCACAAGTACTGTCAACTTATTCACCACTCATTTTTATCTACTTTATAATTAAACCATTTATAAACAACTCTTTAACATGCTTTAACATGCATACTTTGGACGCTTATGCTGGCTTTTATTATTATTTGGATCCTTTAGTATTGATTGATATGCAAGTCCTGTAGTCAACTAATATCAAATGAACTCGACAAAGAGTTGCATTATTAGACCCCAGGGGGAACCAGTTTTTCGAACCTGAAGTTTTTCTACATATTGTGTAGGCATATTGCATTTTCTTCTGTTAACTAAAGTCCTGTAGTCAACTAATATCAAATGAACTCGATAAAGAGTTACATTATTAGACCCCAAGGGGAACCAGTTTTCCGAACCTGTAGTTTCTCTACATATTGTGTAGGTCCATTGCATTTTCTTCTGTTAACTAACTTTGGAATAAAGCTTTCAACATTTCGATCTTTTCCATTACCTAGTAAGAATAAGTTATATTTGTTATATAAAAGTGCCGATACATGTAATCTTTCGAATTTGCAGCGTCATTCTATATGCTGATATATAGTAATGTTTTCGACAGGTGCTATATTTGTTTGGCTGACTATGAAGACAGTGACAAGTTGCGAGTTCTTCCTTGTAATCACAAGTACCATGTTGCTTGCATTGATAAATGGCTTAAAGAAATCAACCGGTACTTTCAAAATATACTCTCTCTCTCAATATTAGACAACATTGCTTTTCTAAGTCGTCCTCTGCTGTGCTTCGTTAGGGTATGTCCACTCTGCAGACGCAATGTTTGTGAGAATGCTGGGGAATGTTCAGCGTCAAACACTGAAGTACCATCACAGTAATGCAGCTGTATATGTATATATAGATAGATAACTTTGAATCTTGACATGTTTATAGAGTTGATCTGATCTGAATTTCGTCAACTTTTTATACGTTGTATGGTATGTCATAAATGTCAATAATTCTTCTGGCTTTTGTATCTTCAATCTAGAAATTGGGTTTAAGGCAGAAGCAAAAAATGTTTTTGCAAGTTTAGCATCGTTTAATATATTAATATTACAGTGTAGAAGAAAACTTCAAAGAGTTTACACCTCCAATTGCTGCTGTGTAGAAGAAAACTTCATATATCTATTTTTCCAATGAAGATTAAACTTGAGAGTTCTGTGTCTTCTTAATTAATATGGACTTTGTTCTTTTGGATGCTGTATGGAAAATTCCTGCTTTTGAGATGATTTATTAAATGGAGAAAATGAAGCTTGATTAAAGAGAATTGTCAAACATGACTACCAAACAAGAATGGAAGTGAGGCAACCATCAGTAGAGATGACAATTTTTCCCACCACACCCCACCACACCCCGTCCATGGAAGTGAGGCAACCATGGTCCATGAGATAATTTTTGTTACGACTAAAAAGATTTACTTATTTTAATAGAGATCAACTTATTTTTTAATTTTAAGCAACAAAGAAAGTATTTTATTTAAAACGCGCCTATTTACTTCTTGGCCAAACTAGCAGCATTCCCCTCTGGGTCGATGCCGAAGCTATACATTTTAACTTATTATGGATTAAAAGTATTCGTGGTAACTGATATTTTGGTAAAATTTCAATTGAGTTCGATAGAACATTTTTTTTTTCCAATTAAGTCACAATTTTCACTTATGCTACAACAATCCGTTGACAGCCAAGTAGGATTTTTTACCTAACAATTTCTTCTCGCGAGTATCAAATGATTAGAGTAAATCTAAACCACTAATTAGTATTTTTGTATCCGGGTTAATGGGCATATGACCCGTGTGTTACTGTGTGCAACATCATGAGTATACAAATGGAACAAGTAACAAAATGATGAGTAAATAATCATTTTTAACAAAGATGATTTTGTTTACTAACGAGCCCTAGATTAATTTGAAAACATCAATTAATGAAGAGCGAGTAAGAAAACTTTAAGAAAACTCAAAACACACGAGTCACGTATGAATACAACCAACGTGGAACTTGTAGTAGGAGAGTAGCACCAAACAAAGTTTGATCGTTCAATTTCAGCTCCAATTTGAATAAATACACAATAATAGGGTCGGCAAAAAGTGTTTGGATAGAGTAAAAAAGTATATAGAAACTGAGATCGATGGAATATTGCTGAATGACGTATAAATTAGAAACTAGGTTTTGATAATTTTATCAATAAATATTTGGAAATATCATATTTATCATTAGTTTATAACTATTTTATTATTCAAATATAAATTTTCAGTAATATTTATTGTTTCTAGGGTTAAATACTAATTTGGTCCCTAAAATTGCAGTGAAATTTCAAGTTCATCCTTCAATTTTAAATTCTTCCAAATTAGCCACTAAAGTTTCCTAATGGTCCTAATATGTTCACTCTGTAACGTCAAATTAGTTTACACTGTTAATGCCACCAACCGAGGCCACCATTATGAACTAAACATATCTTTAGCTTATATGGAAGAATGAATTTAATCTATCGAAAATAGAAGAACACATCAAATTATCAAAAAAAAAAATGGTTCCGTAATTAATTTCCACAAGTCTTCTTTAGTCTTTACGACAATAGCACAACCAAAGTGACAATTGACAAAGAAAATATAATTTTGACATTACTTACAAAAATCTCAGGTGAAAATTAAGTAAAGGGAAAATATACAGAAACAGAATCCAAATATTTGAAAACAAATCAGTATTCTTATGCCCTCTGCTGCAAGGAATACTGGATCCACTGTAACATCCACTCTTTTGCTCTATTCCTTTGCCAAGATCTTCAAGAACAAATGTAGTATTTGTCTGACTGTTACTGAACAACACACACCAAATGTAAGGCCCTTTATGCTTATGACTGCCAGTTATGCCTACTCCAACTTCAGTATGTGATCGATTTTTCAACAGAGACAGGGTTTTCCTGTCTTGAATGAGCGCGTGTGAGAATGCTTCTGGTGGGTCAAGATACTTCTTTTGACATCCCAAAATGTAGCCAGATATGGTTCCAAAAGTGGGCAGTTCAACACCACAGTTGGGAGCAAACACTTCGGTGAAGTCATCTTCTGGTGGTTGACAATGTATAGTATTGTTATCAGTGCAGTTTCCCTTGCATTCCTCTGCATACTGCAAAGCAATGCAGCCTAGACCCCGACTGTTGCTCAGACGAGAAAGCTTTTTGTCTGTTCGATTCTTGTTAATAATCTCAATTAGGTCATTTGCAGCGTTCCCTATCGCATAGATCAAACAGAAAGAACACATTGTTAGTTGATGAATTGATTGACTAGCATCAAAGAAGACTATACAGGCATTGAAAGGATCTGTTAAGAGATAGCATTCCACAAAGTGCATGAGAGTGTGCGAATGTTCATTTTTCTACGAAGATTTTATTTACAAGTCCTAAAAGTGCATGAGAGTGTGCTCACAGTGCATCGTTGCACTGTGAGCACAGAGCGAACTATTTTTTCATCTTTTCCTCAAGAATGCCATGTGCTCACTGCAAGTGGTCACTTGTGCCTATGATTGTAGGTTTTATGTAATTATTGAAGCTAACCCTAAAGAAAAAGAGAGGAAAAAACATCTTAAAAAGAATCACCATTGGAATTTGGAAGACTAGGCTTCAAGAAACAGCAATGCTTAAAAAACACTTTAAAAGGGCAACCTAACAATCCGTTTCTCTATCGCTAGTCTATCGTAAGATCATTCACTTCTGTCGATAAAACTGTCATCCCCAGAGGCTCAACAGCAATGCAGCACTATAACAATCATCAAACTAAAGGTGCCCTTCTTGTGCTGGCAACAAACATTTGAAGTATTAACTCTGTTGATTTGTAATGGCAATCACCAATGATCCTCCAAAAGTTATACTTGTTCTTCCTATCTAATGTCACAACGTTATCCCCTATTCCCCTGGATCAAAGACAAGCTTACTATAAAAGGAACAATCCGGAAAAATTGTTAAATCCTACCCTTTGATTGAATTTATTTGGTTCAAGGGTTGCTCATTCACGTGACTCAGCAATTGCATCTTTCAGCTGATTTCTTAAAACATTTACCAACACAAACAGCAGTGCTTGAGAATCATTTATCTGTTAACAGTAAACTAAGCATCATTCACAATAATTCAGGATCTCCAGAAAATTGGGACTTATTTAGGCTTAAGAGTGACATGTCTCAACCACCAAAGTCTACTTTTAATTTATCCTCAATCGCTGTCACCTTGAGACTCTGTTGTTGACATGTATTCACATTTCTCGTTTACCCTTTCTAGTATGATCAAACATCAATCTTAGCATTATTAGCACAAAAATCAATTCAACAATTCGTGTCTAATAATATCTTATAGTGTTTACCCTTCACCATAGAATCTCTAATGGCACTTCAAATTTCATCTCATTCACTACAGGTCTAGACATTACATCCTCTTCATGTCCTCCTCATTAGTGAGCGAATATAAATACCTAAAACACAACATGATGCTCTGACTAACTCCATTGTCATCTTTATTCCACGACTAGGACCAAAAGGATGTTCGATATATGTCTTAGTTTCAATCTCCCTTACAGAATTAGTAAAAACTATCCATAGTTAGATGGACAAGACCTGGAGGTGGGGAATTTACGCTTAACATGGATGGTTGTAGGAGAGCAGTTCGGGCTTGGCAAGAAGATTTATGTGCCATTTCTATGGGATTAAGACTATGTTTAACAAAAGGCATAACAAGGATATGGATTGAACTGGATTCTACTATGGCAATATTAATATTCTTTCTTATAGAGGAGGAGCACGGTCCTTGGGTAAGTCAATACTTGGTTGAAAAAATTGAGGACCTTCTTAACAAGTGCAAACCAAACATCACACAATATAAGGGAAGGCAATGGAGCAGCAGATTGGTTAGCTAACAAGGGACTTCATGATGACAATAATCCAACCCAATTAAGTAATTGAGCAACTATGGGGCATCCTTCGAATGGTCAAACTCAAATTCGTTATAATATATTTAAAAATTAATAGTTTCAACTTTAACTTCTCTAGATTCATTTTCTCAAAAGTTGTAAAGGAGGTAGTACCTCCTAATTTAGTGCTTTTTAAACTTTTTCTCTCTCCTTGTGTTAGTTTGGAGGTAAGGATATCACTTTCATATCAATAAAAAGGGTCGAGGGAATCCAAATCACCCCCCCAATTGGGTCTAGGTGGAGTATGCGTGCACGCCTTGGTTTTACTTAACCTAAAACTTACAAATTCTAAAGTATTCCTGTAAAGTTGCTTAACTATTTGTTAGGCCACCGATTCATTTTACATATTCTAGAAAGGGAAAGAAGGGGGGCCCACAAAGTGGAGGTGGGAAAGGAAAACTAAATTCTGTTGAAGGGAATATCGGGTAACAAACATCAGTTAAGAGGAGTCAATAAATAAGCGCAGCAAGGGAGTAGAGGAAAAAAAGAGTATTGAGTAGCCAATTAGGAGAGATCTAAGCCTCTCGAATGCTTGGAATTTATCTTTCATTTGCATTGTAATTTCAGTATTAATTCAATATCATTCTCGTTTGTTATTTTCATCAGTTGGAATCCTATCAAATTGGTATCAGAGCGGTTCTTTCCAATGGCACAGAAAAAGACAGACGGCAGAGTTGACACCATAGAGAAAGACATGGAGGAGATGAAGGCAGAGGTACACCGCATCTCGGGATTGGAGAATTCAGTGGACCAGCTGACCCAAAACATGGCAAAAATGTTGCTATCAATGGAGGAGACCAGGAGGGCTGTAGCAGTTCTCTCTAACTTGAAGAGTGGGCTAAACCAAAGTTCGGGAGGGGAAGGAATAGATAGTATGACTGAAGGACCGGTACAACCGGAAATGATGAGGGGTCACCGCGCAGTTGATCCGGGAAAATGGCAGGACGGGGTTGGAGAGGCCAGTTATGGTAGAGCCACAGCCAACACAATGCAGAACAAAGATGAGGAGAATTGGCGACGGGTGCGGAAGCTGGAAATGCCTATTTTCAGCGGGGAAAACCCAGATGGCTGGCTGTACCGAGCGGAGAGGTACTTCGATGTCAATGGACTGACGGAGCGGGAGAAATTGGGAGCCATTGCGGTCAGTTTGGACGGGGATGCATTGTCATGGCTTCAATGGACAGAAGCCCGGACCCCCATTCAGACATGGCAGCAATTACGGGAGCAGTTACTGTTGCGATTCCGACCGACTCAAGAGGGGAATCTTTGTGAGAAGTTTCTGGCTATAAAACAAAGTGGCACCGTGGCAGAATACCGGCGGCAGTTCGAAATGCTCGCCGCCCCACTGAAAGGAATATCAGATGAAGTTTTAGAAAGCACCTTTGTTAATGGACTGAAACCAGAAGTGAGGGCTGAAGTGAGACTACTGGGCCCAAAGGGGTTGGGCCCAATCATGGAGGTAACCCAGAAAGTTGAGGATAAGAACCTGATTCTAAAAAATATCCAGGAGTCCACGAGCCATAAGTCCATTAAACCCTATCCCTCTTCAAATCGCTCAGAGTCGAGGAGACTGGAGATGTTTCCAACGAAAACCATCACCGTTGGAGAAAAGCTAAACCCAATTAAGCGAAACTTTCCGGTCAAGCGGCTGACCGATGCGGAATGGCAGCTAAGACGTGACAAGGGCCTGTGTTTTAAGTGCGAAGAGAAATACACCGTAGGACATCAATGTCGAAACCGCGAACTCCGGGTTCTGTTAGTGGAGGGAGATGATCTGGGAGAGGAGGAAGAATTCGAATGGGTGAGTGAGGAGCAGCCCATCGAGGTTAGTGACACGGTTGAGCTATCCCTTAACTCCGTGGTCGGGCTTACTACGCCGGGCACGATGAAACTCAAGGGCAACGTTGGTGGATGCGAAGTTACTGTGTTGATAGATTGCGGGGCAACCCACAACTTTATATCCCTGGAACTGGTGCGAAAATTGGAACTACCGACGATGGCCACAACTAATTATGGTGTAGTGATGGGGACAGGAAAATCTGTACAAGGAAAAGGAATCTGCAGGGGAATAATTCTGGAGTTGCAAGGGTTGACTGTAGTAGAAGACTTCTTGCCCTTGGAGTTGGGTAGTACGGATGTGGTGCTTGGGATGCAATGGTTAGGAAGTCTGGGCAATATGGAAGTAAATTGGAAGCTCTTGACTATGAGGTTCAGAATGGGTGATACAGTTAGAACGCTGAGAGGAGACCCCGGGCTTCACAAAGCCGGAATATCTTTAAAAGCGATGATGAAGGCTTTACAGCAGGAGGGACAAGGGGTTTGGGTAGAATGTCAGAGACCTCCGGGCGAAATCAAATCAAGTAGAGAAGGTGCTGGACCGCCTGCAGGAGTACAGGGTATCCTACAACGGCATCAGAAAGTGTTTCGCGAACCATCAGGATTGCCCCCAAGCCGTGAGACTGATCACTCTATTCCATTACGAGAGGGGACCGAGCCAATTAACGTGAGACCTTACAGGTATCCTCATATTCAGAAAAATGAGATTGAGCGGTTGGTCCAGGAGATGTTATCTAGCGGAATTATACAGCCAAGTATCAGCCCATTTTCTAGTCCTGTAATACTTGTAAAGAAGAAGGACGGTAGTTGGCGTTTCTGTGTGGATTATAGGGCCTTGAACAAAGCAACCATACCAGATAAGTTTCCCATTCCAGTGATTGATGAATTGTTGGATGAGCTCCATGGCGCCACAATTTTTTCAAAATTGGATTTGAGGTCAGGATACCATCAAATTAGGGTGAAGAAGGAGGATGTACATAAAACTGCATTCCGCACTCACGAGGGACATTACGAATTCCTAGTCATGCCCTTCGGTCTTTCCAACGCGCCATCCACATTCCAATCCCTGATGAATCGGATCTTTCGACATCAGTTAAGGAAGTTTGTATTGGTCTTCTTTGATGACATTCTGGTCTATAGTAAGGATTTGGTGGCACACGAGCAACACTTGGAAGTCGTTTTGACGGTTTTGGCATCACATCAGCTCTATGCCAATGCAAAGAAATGTCACTTTGGGCAGTACCAGATAGACTATTTGGGGCACTTAGTCTCAGCTGAAGGAGTAGCAGCCGACCCGGACAAAATAGCTGCAATGGTACAATGGCCAACTCCCCGTAACATTCGGGAGCTCCGAGGATTTCTGGGTTTGACTGGTTACTATAGGAGGTTTGTAGCCGGCTATGGGGCGATATCATGGCCTCTTACGCAGCAGTTAAAGA